CTGCTTAATTAGGAGCCAAGGGAGCAGCAGCTACATGCGCCTCCTGCCCAGTCCCCTGGGCACTCGCAAACACCTGCCTCCTTGCCTGGGCACATTCTCCTCCATGGCTCCAGCACCTCCCCTGCCCCCAGCCTCTGCCTCTGGCCCCACTCCCTATTTCTAGGCTGTCTGTGGGGGAGAGTGAAAGAGCTGTCACCTCTCCCATTTCCACCTCCCCCCTCTCTGCCTGCTGTCTCCTGGCTCCACTTCTCTTCTGGCTTTTCACCTTCCCTGTCTCCTACCTCCTCCTCCCTCCATTCTTTGTTCTTCCATAATTAGCATGAAATTACCCAGCATGCTCTCTACTCCCCAGCTGCTGGAAGAAGGGAAATGAAGAACTGGCTCTTGCCTGCTTTGATGCCATGGGTGCCAGCTGAGCAGAAGTGTCTGTCTGTCCATCCCTTCCCTTTGTTTCCCACCCATCTCCTGAGAGAAGGGGCTGCATCTCCAGCCCACCCCTTCTTTCTGAGGTAGCACCAGCTGTAGTGCCAGAAGGACAAGTTCCTTCTCAGCAGTGCCCTCAGTGTCAGCCAGAAACCCAGCAGGGCAAGCTTCTTAGCTGCAGTGCCCAGGCAACCGCAGCCCACGCATCCCCTCCCCCCCCGCCCAGCATGAGCGCTTCGTTCCTGCAGTGCCCCACCAGCTCCAGCACCTCACAGTTGGGGTTTCATGTAATTAGCCTGGCTGCCCAGTGGACAGGATTAAGCGCTGAGCAAATATTGGATCTGGAGGCTGAGAGGCTATGTGAAAGGACAGCGGTTCTGGGATGCCCGGACACAGGGAGCCAACAAGCTGCATCCCCACACACACCTAATGAGTCCCCTGGGAACGCAGAGGTGGCTTGACATGTAACACTTCCTGTAAGCCCTGAACCCAGGTCTGCCTCCAGTGAGTTCCCAGTGCTTTCAAAGGAGCAGCTGTAAAGAAAACAGCTTCAACAAAGTGTCTGGGAAAATCAACCCTGCATTGAAGCTCCAGGAGACAACGCACAAGGAGGGCTGGCTGAGGAAGCCTGAACCTCCAGCGACCCCTAGGTGCTCTGGCTGGGCCCCATCCTGCAGTACGGCAGCTCCTAGCAAAGTCAACCTCAACAGGAGAGCCTGTAGGGTCAGGGACTGAGGAAGGGAAGGGGGAAAGAGGTCCCACTCACACGCCCTAGACAGGGACATTTGCACTGCTAAGCATCTAGGGGAACTGGAAGAGAAACTGGCCCCTGTGGGTTACAGAGGAAACAGCAGCACCAGAGATTCTGTGAGAGGGAGTGTGGATGTGCCTCACAGGAGAGACACAGAGCCCCATCCCTGCAGTGTGTGCATGCCTCGCACACACAGACGTGCCCATTTTAAGTTGTGTGTCTGTTCCCAAAGTGATTTGCTTTGTAGCAGAGCAGGGAGCTGAACGGAGATCCCCCAGGTCCCAGCCCCTGGGAACATGGCTTTAAGCCAAAAGCCATGTTCCCAGGTCCCACCCCAGCTGTCAGACACACTGTCTTGCCATCCACAAAGGGCAGCCGGCTCCCCTCAACCTTCTCACTGGGGGAAATAAGCCAGAAATGAATTGGAATCCTGTCTCCATGAGTGAGAGCGCAGTGTGCGTGCACTGTGCCTCAGCCACCTGCAAATCCCATAGCCTAAGGTGCAACGCACAGGAAATGAAGGCTCTGATGCTTCAAAGCAAGTAGGACCAGGCTCTAGCACTGCCCTTCCCCACAGTACATGCCCTCCTCAAGTTGGTCTCCTGAGCCCCACCCAGCACCAGCCTGTGCCAGTCGCCCCAATAGCCTGAGAGGTCCTTGCATACAAAGTGCCAGCAACATGCTGCTTACTAGGGAGATCCAAAAGGAAATGCCTCAAGAAGCTTGCAGTGTAAAGGGGATACAGATGTCTGCTGGGAGAACCAAAGGACAGTGCAAGGCTGTGCCCTTAACAAGCAAGCACAAGGCCTCCCAAGGACCCCTGCTGCTGCACCAGGCCTTGGAGACGGCAGGATAGGCTCCCCTCTCTGAATGCCCAGTGCTACTGCCCGAGCCGGACCAGAGCCACTTCAAGTCCTCTGGAGGTGTCAGTGCTCACAACAGCACTGGCCCAGTAGCCAGCTGTTTGCTTGCTCTCCTGAAGCTGCTCCAGTGAAGGAATCTTTGGCAGTGTCCAGGACCTTGCCTACAAGCCTCCTGTGAATAATTAAACAAGTAACATGCTGGGAAATCTTCAAAGGTGTCCACTGGCTCTTCAAGAAATCCAAATGAGCATGTGGAGCAGCTATGCTAGGTTTTCCCCTTCCCCAGCTGTACGACAGGGGTGACAAGACCCATCTCAGCTGAAGGTTTGGGAGGCCCAGTTCATTTGTGCCCATGAAGTACAAGGGGCAGAGCCTCCACCTGTTCAACTTCTGGCCACTGAGGGTGTCTCAGATGGAGATGGGTCCGCTGAAGCAAGCAGATTGTTTTAAGTCTTGGTTCTGCCATTAAGGCTTCCTCCCAGGCAGACACAGGCTCTTTGTGCTAGTTTCCTGGCATGCAGGCTCCCAGGGAATGGAGGCTTGGCAGAGGCCCACAGCCATTCGCTGACTCCAGACAGCAAGAGGAAGTGATCACAGCTGACAGTGATGAGTAGGGCATGGCAGGAGCTTGGCTGGCTTGCTCAGGGGACTGAGGACATGCAACAGGGCCTTTCGCTTTTTGATCACAGGCTCCACTCAGCCCCATGCCCTCAGCAAGACAGCGGCCTCAAAGAATCGGCTTCCAAGTGCTGACCCATGGAAGACCCCCTGCTTGTTGGCAGTAGAGATGCCAAGTTCAACTCCTCTCACGTCATAAGACGGGGCTGGGAAACCTGCTCCTGTTCTGTGTGTGCCCTGGTGCCCAAAGGCACTACCAGTACTAGCAAAACCAGACCCGAGTGCAGTTCCCAGGGAGGGAGGGTGTCTGGGACCCTGCAGCCTGGCACTGAAGCACAGAGGGGATTTGAGAAGCACAAAACTGCTGAGTGCAGGTGTTGCTATCATTAAAATGCTCCAGTGAGCATCTAGATATTTGCCAGTGCTCCCCAACATGTGGGGCTCAGGAAGCTGAAGCCTTGGATGGAGAATGTGCCCAGATACCAGCTTTCTCTTAGTACCACTACATACAAATTGGTTGGGGTCATGTCATGTGATGTGAATTTACAGGGGACAGAGAACTTCCTGAAGTCCAGGCATTATGCACACTCTGCCCTCGCACAGAGAACCTGTCTCCCAATGTAACCCCTCAGAGCTGAGCTGAGGCTATTCCAGACCGGGGTCTATGCACAGCCTTGCTGGCATCTCGCTTCTACCCTGCTACGCCCCTTGATATTCCTGCCCTGATTCCAGGTACCAGCCATGCTTACCAGGCCAGGTAACTCATGAGGCAGATTATTTCACACACAAACAAGGGATCTCCATTTTACCTGTCACAAACAGGATCTGATCACCTCTTCACAGAGGTGAGAGGCTTCAGGGCCAACCCAAAGCACCACCTAGCCCTGGGACCATGTCAGCTCAAAGCCACATGCTTCTTTTGTTCCAGCTCCTGTTTGGTTGACTCCTTTAAGACAGGAGCCCAGGAGAGAGTTTCTTCTATTGAAATGCTAAGCACACCACTCTCCAACAAGCCTACCTAAAATATGGGTCAAGTCAAACTGCATGGGATCCGAGGAGTCACATGCTGTCACCTGCAGATCGTGTGACAGTGGCAGGTGAAAAAAAATAAAACAAGCCTCTGGCTGGGAGACAAGGGGTGGAGTGAGACATCAGGCTGACAACGAGAGTTGCTTCCCCCCTCCCCCCGACACACACACATCCGACAGAGCATCAGCCTCCACCCCCAAACTGAGCAGTCCACTAGAACAGATGCACGGAGAGGGGAATCAGGTTCCTGGGATAACAGGGGTCCCAAGGAGCCTGATGAAGCAGCTCTGTTCCTTTCACTGAGGGCACAATCCTTCACAGCACTGCGTACCCTTAAGTGCCACAGAAGTCAATAGGAGCAGAGAATGCTCAGCACTTGCAGGATCAGGTCCCCAATGGTAACCTGATTCTCCCCACTCCCACACAGGAAAGTGAAGCACCATGCACACCCCTCACTTGATCCCCCAACTCCTCCTGAAGTGCCAGGTGATAGGCATCTTGGAACAGACCAAAGAGATTTAACTATTCTTCAGCCAATGCCAGTTTTATCTGGAAATCCCAGATCAGGGGCATGGAAGGGACCCAGGTGCACCCAAGCTGAAGGGGGTCTCACTGTGGGTTTAGGTTGTGCCCAAGTACAGGGCTGCCAGGCCTAAGCCATGGCTCTCATTTTCCCAGTGCCCAGACAGTGCCACAGGGCGCCCCACCTGGACAGCCAAAGCACCAACCATAGCCACAATTTTTTGTGCAATTGCACAGAAATCAACAAATATAAAATCAGCATCCAAAACCAGCATCCTGCTCTTTGACCCTACCTTTATTTGGCTTTTTAAAAAAAATAAAATTTGTCCAGATGGTAATTTAGAGGCAGGCAACTTGTCTCCCAAGCCAAGACAAATTCCCCTGAGTTTTAGCTTGATGGGAAAATTCTTACTGGGGGGGGAGGGCGCACAACAGAATAACCCACAATCTTCCAAAGCCACAGATTTCCATTGGAACTGCCACAGACGCAACTATACTGGAAACCACAGCAGAATGGCCAGCACAGCTGGTGCCAGACCTGTGCGGACACAGCCCAGAGCCCAGGAATCTTGCTTGTGGATGCTCAGAGCCATCAGGATGGATCGATCTTTGGTAAGGATGCTAGAGAATAAGCCAGAGACAGAATCTCTAATGAGGATGCTCACAACACACAAAAGGGGGAGGGGGGGTCTTTTTGGCTGCTGCAGCTGCCGAGCTGGGGAGGCTCTGAATCTTTAAATCTAATCATAAAGAATTGTGCTTCACAATCCCCCCAGACTCTCTCCCCCACTTACCCCCAGTTTCCTGCTCTTCATTTTCACGTAGCCCTGCTTGACGATGTCATTAAAATTTGTAGCCATAGTGTAGCCTGCCGCAGCCAGGAGCCGCTCCCCAGAGCTGACGGCTTTGCCCGGCTCTCTCACTTGCTCGCCGTCCAGCTTCCTCCTTCTCCCCACACTCCTCCTTCCTCTGGTGTTCACCTGTTTTTAGGCACTCCCAGGCATCCAGGTCCTCTCACCTCACCTCCTCCAGCGCCTCCGCATTGTTCTAGCAGCCCTCATGCTCACCTCCTCCCTGGCTCCCTTCCTGGCGCTGGCTGTAAAATAAAAGTGACAGATAGGGAGAGATTAGAGATAGTGACATCTTTCTCTTTCTCCCTTTCTCGCTTTCCTACCCCTCCTCCCTTTCTGACTGAACCATTTGGGAAAAAACAAGGTGGATCATAGGGAAGGAGAGAAATGGAACAGTCCAGTTGTTAACCCCTCAGTCCTTCGATGTGCAGGGAACAACTTTGTCTGCCAGAAAGCAACTGAAGATCAAGGAAGGAAGATGGGAATGTAAGAAAGAGACTCCAGAGAAGTGATGTAGCTGCGGCAGCTGCAGAGCCTGGAGGACGTTGCCCCTGAGGATGGTTCAGGTACTACGGTACCAGAGCCCAGCCATACGGTTCCAGTTGTATGTCGGGCTTTTTAGCTAATAAAGAGCATCTCAGATTTACAGTTGCCTTCATTGCCCGGGGTCCCCAAGCACTCTGACACACTATGACAATCAACACACAAGCTATACCCAAAACCAATTAATCTACCCCAGCCCTGGGAGACAGGAGAGATATGGTGATTCTATTTAGCCACCTGTCACCAGGTCAGGCATAGCTACGGCATCAAGCCTTCAAGCAGCACACTCCTTTCGCCTCTTGAGGACGTACTTCCAGGGCTATGTTTATTGAAATACACCTTGGCAAGCAGTACAGTACAAACTGAAATGCAGTCACTTCTGGGCAGGAACACAAGATCTGTCAGAAGACACAAAGAATAGGGCATGTCAGCCAATAGATGGGGCCTTGTCCCATCAAATACTGTTTCCCCTTGTAGTGCAAGAAGGACCTCCCATACCAAGGACACCTGTCACAGGTCCAATGCAGAAAGCAATACAGGAGGAAGACCCAGAAACAACAGGCCTGATATTTTGAAGGTAGGAAACTTAAAATGATGCAGGATTCCTTCCCGTAGGAAGGAACCTGTGGTACAAAGCTTCGTTTTGGAGTCATGTGGTTTTCAACTAGAAGCACGTAGAATATGGGTAATTTTGCACTTAAAATCCAGGCCAACAGCTCTCAAAACAAAAGATGTTTGACAAAGGGAAACCTACACATAATGTAACTAGTGCCTCTAAACCATGCTGAAGCCAAAAGAGCTGGGGTCAGAGATGGTATTAAATGCTTCCCACTCCCCCAACCTATATCAAGGCAGAACAATATTTCAACCACATCAGGAGACAGGTGAGATATGATTAACTACATTGATTGTGCACCACAGATAGACCCATGGATTATACACAACACTCCAAGACGGAGAGAAGAGAACAACTGCCTGCAAAACCAAAGATAACACTGGAATTACATTGTTTGGAATATGACCAAGACTCTGGAGCTAACACCCCAGCACTTAGGAGAAATGCCATGAGATCTTTCAGGCCCCAACTGCTCAGGTCTAGGGTTCCAGATTCCTGCCAACTGTTGATGCTACAATGGATTGTCTAGCGTCAGGTAATAGTAAAAGAAAAAGACAGAGGTATGGGCTCAAGCATGTCATTAGTAGACCAAGCTAAGATTGGCTGGCAGCATGATCAGATATGCACCCCTGGAGAGAGAAAGACAACAGTGCCAGAATCAGCTAGCCAGAGACAGGATGGCATTGCCAACACCTGGACCAATGCCACAGTAGAATTACTGGTAGCACCACGTGGATGTCCACCAAGAGGGATTAGTAACTAGTACTTCCACCCAGTTACTGGAACTCAGTTACTGGTGTCAGGGAGGAGTATAGGGCCAGTGTGTTAGTTAGCTCTGGGTTACTTGCATACATGAAGCCACATTGCAGTCAGCTTACTCACACTCCTGGGGCTGCCTGCATCTGTAAAAATGGCCATAATTTGGCCCTGTGGGGTTTCTTCTAAGCTTCATTTTCGGGAAGGGAAGACAGAGACCCTGAGGCTTCCCACTAACAACCATGCATGCTCCACAGACACACCCAGCAATTATCTCTTTGGGATCTGAGCAAGCAGAGTCTGACGGGCATTCCCTGCACAGAGTAGCACCTACGCATTACAAGAGCCAGGATGAAGTAATTGCAGTGTGCCAGTATTGTGTTGCTAGCCCTGGGGGGCCAAAATGGGTACTGATACTATATTCCTAGCCGGGGGTGGATGGCAATCTCAGCACTAAGGCGACCAGCATCTGGTTGGATTTCCTGGTGACAAAAATGCTTCCGCAAGGGTCAGAAGAAGCCTATCACTGCAAGGGTGAAGATCCTGGTGCCAAGAGTCTGGGAAAAGCAGCAGGAAGGAGTTCTTACCAACAGGCAAGAATCCAAGCTAGAACAATGCCTCAATACCAGGGCGGGGATGTGGGTGCCAGGAGAAGGCCAGCGCAGCCAGGGTGGGGCTCCAGCAGTCACCATAGGGACACTAGTTCCTGAGCCATGATTTTCCTTGTCAGATGTGACAGCAGCACAGCAATAATTACTCTCTCTGAGACTGCAAGTCCCTCCTGAGAAGCAGATGGGATGGCCTGCTTCACATGTTCAAGCAGTAGGAGCAAAAACAGTGTGCTTGAGCACAAGCCTGCAGCTCTCCACCAGGTGGATCCATCCCTCACTATCTCCTGCCCTGCAGGCCCTTTAGACTGCCAGCCCATCTGCCTGGCCTCTTACCATCAGAGATGCAACCTCATCCTCTGGTTTTTTACATGTCCTAATCTCACCCTTCTCCCTCTTCCTTCACTCCCTCTCCTCTTCCTGCTCTTTGTCTCGCTTCTCAGTACCATCCTTAAGGTGCAACCTATGCTGAGGAGGGAAAAGAACTGGAACTAGATGTAATGGTTCTCTCCCAATTCCACCTACATGCTAGGTGCCACCTGGTTGAAACACTGCTAAATAGACTCTGCTAAGAGCAGAGCTCCTCATCAACAGTATGATTGGATTAGCAGATAGACATTTAACAATGGTTACACCATCTTTAGGGTTCAGCGTTAACAGACCACTGATACTAATGGGAAAGATCACTGCAGCAAGCCTGAAGCATTACTGCAGCATGTGCATTCTGTTCATTTTGGGGAAGATTTTTTGCAAACAGAGGTGGCAATTGAGACCCTTTCTCCCCCCACTTTTTTTTTATAAATGGAAACTTAGGGCATCTTTACACATGCTCTAGGGGTGGTGGTACTTTACTTAGAGCTCTAATTAAAGCGCCCAGTGTCTTGTATGTTTAGCATCCAACGCTTCAAAATGGCAGCAGGGGTGCTTTAGTTAAAGCACCTTCACTACCATTTTGAAGTGCAGGGATGCTGAATACATGGGGCGCGGAGGCTGATCTGATGCACTCTAATTACAGTGCATCAAGCAGCATCCCTGCATGCCTACAGGCACTCAGATTCTGGAGCATAAGACAATACTAACAGGCTCCTGGAGGAAGCCCCAGATCTCCAAACCACTGCCAGCTTATCCAGTTTTGGTTAGTGGGACTCAAGGCATAACCTCCTCCACACAACAGAAATCTTCTACATGGTAATTAACTGCAACATTGTTTTTGTGCAGTGGTCACAGTGGTTCATCTGAGCATGTAAATGATCAACATGAAATAATTCACCCTAACTCAACTGAGAGGCACAGGAACTTTTGCTTGAAATCATTTCCCACTCAAGCTGCCTGATCTTGACTGAATTAAGGAGTACTGCTGTTAGGCCAGGAGAATTGCTGCTCTTGCTGTTATTTCCAAACCAACCATAAGTAGGTGGCCTCAGAAACTCCAACCAGCATCCATGCTCCATGGGACGTGCTAGTTAGAAATTGTAGTGTCTTCTTTGAAATGTAACAGAGTAAGGCCCAAGAGGGAGAACTCAGCTCATTTGCAGAGGCAGCAACCGTACTGTTCTCAAGAGTTGATTCTCGCACCACAGGTTCTCTCACAGAGACTTCAGTTTTCCTCTTTCCTGACATTATTTTCCTTCATAGGAACACAATACTGGAAAGGGCAGCCTGGGTCACAGAGTTGTCCCTTGCCATCACAACCACTTTGTGTCCACAAGCTCATGAAGCTCCTCCAGCTCAAGTCAGATTGTTTGCCCATGCCACTCCTAGTGGGAGGCTATCCCAGAATCTCTCTCCTCCCATGATTACAAAACTTCTTCTAGTTTCCAGACTACATTCATTCCTAGCCAGTTTACACCCTTCTGTTCATGTTGCCAGCATTGTCCGTTAGCTTAAATAGCTATTCTCACTCCCTGAAGTATTTATAGAAAGCAACCAGAGAGAGCCCTTAAAAAAAAGGAAACCATTTGAGACAGAAAGCACATGTCTGCTCATTTCCAAACCAGAGCTCTGGATCTAAACTCCTTAAGCTTCAGGGACATTGAGATCCAGATCTGCATTCTGCAGCCATCTCTCTAGGAAATCTATACAGTGCAAGATAAACACTTATTTGAAGAGACTGTCTACAGTGGAGAGAAAACGTGCGTCAGGGGGAGCATTATTCCCCAAAGTGTTCCTGCAAAAGGCCACGTTACCTTGTGGAACCGTTTTGCTGCAGCTCAGTTCTGTCTGAGGCACTGGTGTTTCATTTCTCTTTAATGAAGTAAGATGGCACAGGTGGCTGTTTCTTTTTTAAAGCAACACTGTCAAAGCAGGGCTAAGAGACAGCACAAATCATTTCCCTCTTTTTTCTTACACCCATTTTCAAAGCCCAGAGGCAGACTGTATTTCTAAGACAAAGATTTCAGTGACTTTTCCTCAAAACAAGCAAGCACTGCTACATGAGAACCTCCAGAACAAGCCACTATATACAGCTCAGCATTGAACCAACCCTACAATAACCAAGGGCCATGTCAGGTTAGCCCCCCCTTGAGATTGCTTACGACAGCAGAGCAGCATAGGTGCTTATGACCAACCCTACAACAACACAACAGCTTGCGTGCCTCAGCTCAGCACTAACTACCATAATAGCGCAGGCTCACACTGGGGAAAAGGGAAACAACTCTGCTTAGGAAACATAGTTCCTTCTTTTCCCTCCCTCCAAGAAACTGTTTACCCCTCATGGAAGATG